TAAAGAAATATAGTGCAGTTTGATTTCAGTTTCATGCTATCGTTTTGTCGTGAAGGCAAACAACAAAACCTGTCTATGCCGTGAAGGTAATCGTCCTTTTAGAAAGATAGTTAAGCTGGAAAATAAATAAAATTTCAATTTCAAGTTTTTCTTGTGTGCTAATTCTTTCTGTGGCTTAAAATTATATCAGGCATTACCTTGCCCTTATCTTGTGCTGACTCTGGTCTGAAACCCAAACAATCTATACCAAGTACGTACAAAATTTAAAATATGGCCACGCAGACCTTCTTGCTTTTCGATAGTCATACCTGTAGACCTTTTTTTTCAAGCTGCCCACAAGTTTTTGGTTGCTGCACATTTTTTTTGTTCTACCGTGTTGAAATTATCCTTCATCTCATCATCTGCGTCAGGTTATTTTAGGAAATCTTTGCGAAGGTTCATAACTCAGTTGGCGGAGTGTCTTACAACAAAATCTCGTCAAAGCGTAAAAATATTTCTAGACTTCGTTTACTTTATCACGGCAAAGTTCGATTTTAGCCTGACATTACATGTTACATAACCCGTGCATACATGTATATGGTGTACTAAAAAGGAATTTAAAATTATTATCTTAAGTAATACAAGCGACGTACAAGATATTTCTTCCGTCGCTTTCAGTTCGTTTTTTCAGTAGTAGCGATCTAGTAAAAACAACTTTCGCTATAAATCTTTAATAAGGAAACTGCGACTGTCTGCCTTCACGTAAAGCCACTGTTTTTCCTATCCGAAATAAACTGTTTTTCTGACTCAATAGACATTGCGTGTGTATTTACCTAAAGATAAAGGGGTTACCCATGATCGATCAAATTTGGGGTAAAGTATAAATGTCTTTAATCTCTGAGTTTTATGAATTGTCGCTTGCAAACGGGAGGAGTGTTTGAAGTTTAGTGAAGTTTGTGGTTTGCTCTGTCAAAACTCAATGCCATTTTGAACTGTGGACGCCCATTTCCCTTTGCCAGTGGGGCACATGAAAGACGGTAATGAAAGAAAGTAATAAATAGTACAATTAATCGCCTAATTGCGACTTAGCACCGGGTTATTAAAAAGAAATATGAATAAAGGAATTACAATCGTAGCCGAAAATTAGTATTGTGTTATTATTGATCACACAAACTTAACGAAAAGCCGTTTTATATTTCCATTCTTTCAGAAGTACAAAATTGGCGGCACGGATCACAGTCCGTTTCGGCGGATATTTCTAATTCGCACGGCATAATGAAGTTTGGGCGGAAAGGCTCTAATGAACTTTGCGTAATTTGTGTTTAATTCGTCCACGAGCTTGAAATTTAAGCCGGTAGGAATGGTCATTAGAGAAACTAACTTCAGGAAAAAGTCATTAAGACGATTTTGTTAGTTTATTCGTCTTGCAATTTCATGTTTTGCTATAGAATGTTTGTTCTTTGCTTCAGCAGAGCATGGTGCACCGTTTTAGTTTGAAGTCATAAACTTTGTCATTTGAAATAGAACCTTCAGCGAATATAATTAAGATGCCATTTTTTGGTTAGATGTTTTTTGATTCCTCGCGCACTAATTCGATTTGTTTTTAGCAGATTTTTGTATTGTATTCTCGCGCTGTGAAATGCATGAATCTGCCTTGATGGATTTAACGCACTGCCTGCACAGCGGGATATAATAAAACATACCAAATGCGCCATGGAGCGAAAACACAATGGCCACGTTGGGTAAAATAACCTATTTTTGCTGCATCCAAGGGAAAAGACGTATGGGCACTTAACCTTTTTGTGTAACTTTTCAAAGGTGCTTATTCTGAAACAGAAGGAAGGCGTGTTTCATGTGTTTTCCATTCTTCATCTGATCCTCAAATGTCCACGCCATTACAAAGAATCCAATAAAAAACGTTTACATCAAGAAGTATATATCTCACCTTTCTTAAATAAGTGCGAAACCTTTGAAAGTCGTTTTAATAAAAAACTTAAGAAAAAAGTCAATGATATTTGCAAGTGTTTCCTTCAACCCTAAAGCAGTATTTCGACAAACTGTCAAAGATTTCGAATGTAACGCAAAGATTTATGATTTGAAAGTTTATTGTTTCTGTTCCTTTGGCCGGGGACGCACTCTTTTAGCAGCAATCAGGTGGCTGCGTCGGAGATCATCAACGGAACGATTTCTTTTTTTCTATGTAGTTTCTTCACAATTTGAAATTTTGCATTACTATCACTCCGATGTTTTTGGGAACGATGGAAAACAAACATGTTTTTCTTTTTTCTAGTTGCTTAGTATGCAGGCTGATTCACAAGTTGAGCTACATCACTCTGTTCTTACAATGGCGCTTACATTCGATGTGTCGCTTAATTCGATCTTCGAAATTTTCCCCAGGTATGTCTGCCAAGAGGCCGTGAGTTTTCTGGTTTCGCGTTTTTCTTAATATTGGTCATGATAAAGAGAGCTAATTATACTGGTCGGGACAAATACGGGTCTGAGTTTACGAAGTTTTACCATTACACTCAGCGTTTCATCTCTTTGCGCTCACTTTTTTCCCGAAGGAAAGCAAGCAGAGCTGAGGAAACATTTAGTTCTATCTGCCTTCCTCTTCAGTCATACACTGAAGAAGAAACGAAAGATTTGGATATTTGCACAAACCTTTACTAAAACATATTGATCTTAGTCAAAAGCATCTCATCACATGGTTTATAACTTCGAGGAACGGCTGTAGTCTGGGATCGACTGTTTGAACCTATTTTTCGTCTTCTTTGCAAGTAGATATAATAAATAAACGTCTTCCTTCTTCATGTTTAGGCCAAAAAAGTTGATGTTATAGTCGTAAAGCAGATATAGATGTTCTGTTACGTTGTACCAAACGGTCCTTAATTTCCCTTGACTGCCGGATTCTGCGACCTAGACGGAGAGTATTGACTGCGGAGCACGATTACTGGAACGTGCTTGTTTTCGGGACTAAATTGCACCGTTTATTCAGTTTGTATTCCTAGTAACATACGACGACGCCACTTTCTCCAAACGGTAAATAATGGCTTCTGTGTTCTTGCAATTCCCTTGAAAGAGGTTGTTGTTGTTTTTTTTATTTTTGATTTGTGTGATCCCAGCAAAAGTTTAGTGCACAGTTTGAATTTGTTTTGCTAATTTCTTGTGTATTTTTTCATACTGCGTGTGAAAACACCTTTGTTTGACAAACTTCAGTGTTTGTAAATTGTCCCTGTGTTTCGAATATAATTTGTCCTTATATCCTTTCCGTCGTCACTGATTGTCCACAAACGTTCCGCAAATTTGAAGTTCTAATTCACAGACGTGCGCTGATTTAGAGACGAGCGTATTTCCGTAGAATAAGCCGCTCAAGATAATCAGTGATTGGAAATGCTGCCAATATCGAACTGCTTTGCAAAGCAAGAAAGGACTTCTAATTGAGTTATTCACACTATTTACTGTTCTATTTACCTCCGACAAAGGCAATTAACACTTGGCTTCAAGACAGGTGATGGAAGTGAGAAAACCTCCATTGACACTTCCGAAGTCTGAGTCAAGGACATTGTTTACATTGTTTACGGTAAATTTGTTGTTGAAAAGAACAATAAGGAAGTCATCGGATTAGCCCCCTGCTAGTAATAAAAAACTTTTGAATTTTTAGTTTGTATTAGTTCATTGCTGTTTAAAGACCCTTTCTAGACTGCTAAACTAAATTTATAGAAAAGCTGGTATACTTTATTTTCGGTTTGTTTCTCGGACCTATTGATGTCTTTGTGTAATCGAGAATCGTCAACAGTCACCTTAATTATAGGAAAAACACAATTACGTTAATTGGCATCAAATAATTATTGTGGTGAAACAAAACAGAACGCAAACGAAAAGACAAGCTACAAACAGAACGCCACCCAAATTTTGACATTTCTTGCTGATTAAGGCTGCCTCTTTGGGAAACCTATCTTAGCTAATCCCCGTATGTCTTTCTCTGTAGCTGATACGATTTCATTTTAAACATTTATAGGAGTAGGTGGTGTTCCGTAGTTTAATAAGCTCACACTGTGTTTTTTACCCCACTGCCGTTTTCAGTTGAATCTGTGTAATCGGTTATTAATCGACTATACATTAGCGCACGATATTAATTAGTATTGCATTAATTACATACCTCTAAATATTAGTATTCATAGTTTTTTGTACACTTTATAAACATATATTTTATTTGCACTATTTTGTAACTTACGATGAATATTTTACAACCGAAACATATTTTGCAAATTTAAATGCCTAATAGGCGTTTTAAAAAATCTTTACCTCCTTCGAAATTATAAGTTTAGTCCAAAGAGAAAAGAAAGATAAAAAAAGCACAAACTATTGACTATTGATTGGGGAAATGTTTTCAATCTATGCCCCTCGATGGAAAGACATGATATACTGGTTACGGCTCAAGTTATGGGTAGTTTCTGTTTGCCATACATTTGTTTTCTTCCATCAAAGATCTAATCCCTGATTAGTGTGTGTCTATCGAGAAGTATGATGCCGGCGGGAGTTTCGAGAGCAAAAGAAAAGCGTCAGAGCTCTCGTTGCTAGCAATTCTTTCTTGCAAACGGTGTCCTGTAGTGTTATAATTTGCTAGCCCTGTAATCTATGCTTGATCACTCCAACCGTTCTTGGACTGAGCCGTCTGGGTTCGAGACCTGTCCGGGTTCATTGCGTGTTGTTATTAGGCTAGACGCTTTACTCTCGCAGTGTGTGTAAAGGGTACCCATTCAGTTCTAGGGAGTGACCCTGAAGTGGGTGTAGGGGAGAGTAGAAATACTTAGTGAATACCTGCGACACACAATGGGGTGCGCTCTGGTGATATGGAACAGTTACATATATACATTACATTGCAGTTACATACAACAGTTGGCTCGGAGCAGACTGATGTAACTGGCCTCAACTCCTTTTTATACCCCAGAGAATAGAAATTGGAGCGTCCTTCCCCCTTTGCCCAAGGGTACGAGTGTTCTGAACAAGAGCGAAATACCCCAGATAAACATAAATATTTATTTCGCTTTCGTCTTTCGAAATGTCTCGCTAAGAGCAAAACGTCTTCTGTAATCTTCAAAATAACAAAGCTTTCTTTTTTTTATCATTCTCTTTAATGCTGATTTCTCGTACGTGTTTTAATTAATCTCGTGAATTTTCTGTAGAAGCAACAAAAATAGGTATAAAAATACTCTCAACCTCAAACCTGCCTATAATCTATGTACTTTGCTCTGTCACCAAATGCAGTGAGATAATTGTGATCGAACGATCGATATGTACGAAGTACTTGGCTAAGAGTGTGTTTAATAGAGTGTGTTTACAGGACAGGTCAGACTTAGGGAAAATTACAAAAATGTGTGCTCCACATATCCCGAATCCAGATATGCATCCAGTCGTGAAAACTTAGTAATGCCATGATTAGAGGTAGAATTTAAAATACTACAGGATTTGTTTTCAAAGGCAGGTACGAAATATATCCGCACATTCACTTCTTTAAAGCCGAACCTGGTTCTACGGAGAGAAACGTGATTTCAAGGACCACGTGAACTGTTCGTGTTAACCATGGGTCTGCATCAAGAAGTTTCCAAGATGGCTTCTACTGTACTTAGGGGTGGAATTTTCAGGCTCTATTTATGCTAGCCTCCTATGCAGACGCTCTCTTGCTTCGTTACGAAATGGAGGGAGATTGCGTGACGAGCCCAAAGAGCGTCTGCGCAGGAGACTCTATTTGTACAAACAAAGTCAAAACATAGTTGAATTTTGCAAAATAATCAAATCAAATGGTAGAAAAATGTGTTACGTCAGTTTAGTTACAAGATTATAACTAGGTAAAAATAAAGCTATAAAATTTCAAAGGCTATGTTCTTATAACTGTTTCTGTTAGGGTGGATTTCTTAATCGCACCAGTCCATCTACTCATAGTGTTCATGATATGGACGTGGTTGAAATGGTTTAGCGGGTTTCTTAGCATTCAAATCCATTTTTTTAGAAGCCGCATCACCTGGGTCCCCTGTGATGTATTCGCAACCATCGGAGTCTGGCTTGATGACACAATCAGCAAACTTGTTTAGATGACTTTCCATGTAACTCAATGGCGAAGACCCCTGGGACAGGACTTGGTAGTGAAAATCTTTTTCGCTGAATTTCTTTTTATTTTCTTCAATCTTCGCCTTGGTTTCGTTGCGCACGTGCCAAATCCTCAACTGACCAATCATGTACGCGGTGGCCTGACCGGGATCGCTCTGGTAACGAGTGACATCTTTCACGGCCTTGTCGGTTTTGTCCCAGGCCTTTTCGGCGAAGAGCTTCAAGGCTTCCCATCGCTTCATTCCTGGAAAGAGAGATCAAAAGTAAATTTTTGAGAGGTACTGTGGCACTATAATAGTAGACTTGTCTGCAGCCTAAGTTCTGGCGACCAATTAAATCGCTATCAAGCGGATAGCGTTGCTGTTGTTGTCAGCAGTGATCCTCTGGGTCGTGACCTATTCTGTTGAAAGCGTCATCCACTCTTTAAACAACCAAGACCTGATATTGCTGTTAGAACTCGGAAACATTGCAGCAAACCTTTGTAATGAAGTCCAGTATCCATCATTAAACGCAATGCCCGCCATATTTGCCATTTCAGCATTCCATAAAGCTGCAGTGGGTCGTTGTCATAAGCGTCTGTCTCTTCAGCGATCAGCGGATTCTCTGCATATAGTGCCCAGCCTTCTGTGAACGCGGTGTAGTACGAAGCACCGTTCAACCAACCCATAACACCTCCACAGGTGTCACCAAACAACTCTTTAAATCCCTGCGCCTATTAAGAAGAGAAGACGAAAAGCAAGCATAACAGACTAGGAAACGATCTGTACAGACATTGGCGAATATTTCTGTTAACTGCGGGTGTGGAGAAATGGTTATAAGTAATTGTTGCGCAATGAATGATATCTGTTGGAAGATATCTCTTGGAAGCTTGGCATTCCATTAAAGACCGCAACCCCGTTAACGAACATAAATAAGTATTGCCCGCAAGTTTATTTACCTCTGGCAGTATCCTAGGGGACCAGGGGTAAATAAGAACTGAACATGCATGTAGTGACACTGTTTCAAGACGAAGGCAACAGAAAGTGTGCCGAAAATGCTTTTATTTTAGATCAGTGTCAAAAGTAGTTTTTAAGTTAGTGAATAATATTATTGTCTAATCTTATTGTCTCTTTATTGTCTCCAAGTATTCAGGGCGTCAGACTCGAAATACAAACATTACTCCTAAAAATTTCTGCAGTTAAAACACGGCAAGAGCGAGTTACGTTCGTAGTTGAATCATTTCTGATTGCTTCAAACGAAGAATTGGAACCTTACGAGTGACATCCATGTTTACCTAGCTACTGTTATTTCGAGTACCCTGTGAGCAATACAGCCTATTAACTTTAAAATGTGAATATGTAGTAAACAACAACAACAGCAACTAAATTGTCCTAGATGACGTACCTGTGTGTGATGCCCAGGCCTTGCTTCGTGTGCACCCACCGAGATGGCATTGTATCTTGGTCCCATATCTTTCAAATAGAACGGTAACCTGTACTTCGCAGGTTTGGTGCAATCTTTATCACTGGTTCGGAAGCTCTGGGAACCAGTCCCCGGGTTGAAATTGGCGACCAGCTGGACTGGACAATTAGGAGTGCTCTGGTGCTTACCAGTGAAATGAAACATGTGATTGGTCTTCGGAGCAAGATCACTCAAGACAGCTATTTCAAAAAAGAAACGGCAAAAGGTCATGTGACATAATTATCAGTTACCTCGCTTGACTGTCGCACAAATGTGCATATGCAGTCTTATCCCTGGTCTTTCACGGATTCAGATCCAAGATGGGGTATTTATCATCTTGGATTTGAACAAAAGAAGGGCTGGGGGCAAGTTCGGCACAGCTTTGACTGTGAAGGTATCAGCAATGTGGTCTTTGACATTCCAGAAAAACGTCTATAAAATAACTTGAGCTTGTTTTTAATACTGAACTCTAAGGTAATCAAATTATCACTTTGAATTAAATCTTAACATGCCATGCTTTTTATAGGTAATTATTAGTAATTTTAACTTTCGTTGAGTTTATTTTTCGCATTCCGTTGCGGTGACATTTGCTCAGATTCCACATTGCACGGCAAAGCGTACTCTCGAATTGCGATTTAAACTTGCCTTGCCTTTCAATCTTACAGGCATTTCCTGACGTTCTCCACCCCTCCAGCCAATTCACTGAGGACCTCTTCTAGACTTGGAATCTGTGACTGACAATTGCGGGTGCTATGCATAGCTGCTCCAGGTACAAAACTTTTCTTAGGTTTTAAACAGGTTTCAAATGACTCGTTTCCACTCAATGGAAAGATTTACCCCCCAAAACACAACAACTACCAGTAATTCAGTTTTAGCAATTCAAAACGAGAATTAACACCACGTACAATAATAGTTTAATGCTGTTTAATTTTAAAGTATACTTACTATTGACATATTCAAACCACGTCAACATCGCTTTGTACCGCTTAGGACAGTAAATCTTCGCCTGCTCCATACTGGTACACTTCGCGAATGCATCTTTGTTGCTCTCGTTTTCTGGGATCTTCTCGTCGTTAAAAAACATACTCTGATCTTCTAAACGCTTCTTGAACTCATCGACTGCCTGGGCTTCATCCTGCTTGCCTGTGATTTTCTTGGCGATTTCAACAGCTCTCGGATAAAGCTTATTCAACATTTCATGTCCCAGGGAAAAGACCTGATCTGGTGTCATCTGATTGGTTGTGAAGTAGGGCAGGATCATTTCATAGGCTTTCTTTCCACTTAAAGGCTCCCCGTTCGGAAGTTTTCCAGTCGTTTTAACTCCTGTATTCTTGCCGTTTTTATAAATATACTCCAGAGGTAGAGTTGCCAAGCCACTGGAGATGTTACTGGGCACGCAGTACTGGGAATGGTTGAACTCCAGGTAGTTCAGCAAACTGTCCAGCGGTTTACCCACGTACTCAACTAGGGCTTCGTTTATGGATGTTCGCACGGTTTCCTTATGGTCTCTCTCCCACGCCTCGGCAGCATCTTTCTGGAGGTTAGCCAGCCATTTTGGATCCAGCATTTCTTGCGTGTATGATTCGTTTAAAACTCCTGCGAAAAACGAAAACGTTGTCCATGTTTTAAAATCGGGTTAACTTCAATCTTCAATTGTCAATTTTCTGTTGGGTTACTTTTCTGTAATAAGGTATGGTGCATATCGTCCACTAATAGAATATCTTTAACATTCGTCTCTCATGCCATTTTCTTATTTTCTGCGCTCTTTAACGCGAGTTTAGCCTGTTTTGTTTTCGATAAATAGCTCTGCCTAGCAATAATTGACTGAAATCTCTCCAAGAGAAATTATGAGCAAAATAATTGTATCTTTTAGTACAAGTCTGCATGATTCAAGCTCCTGCATCTGTAATAGATTACCCACCCTCCCCATGTATTCTCTTTCGCAAGTAACACCCCCCGACACCACAGATACGTAATCCGGTGTGCGAGAATTTTGACAATTGGAAGGAAAATCAAAATCTACATATTGATTTAAAAAGTGATCGAACCTTCAAAGTAGAATCATACTGGGAGTCTTCCAACTGATAAGCCTAGCATTCATCCATCTCAAGCATCATTTGACTGCTTAATCTCTCGTGTCAGATTCTCATTGTCTGCTACCTGTTTATTTATCTTTTTTTTTATTTCTTTTTTTAACATAAACGCTAGTAAATCAGGTTTTAGCGCCATCTTGTCGCCATTTTCGAATGCAGATTCAGTTATCAAGTCATACTGGTTTACTTCTGTTATGATTACTTGAAATTGATTAACGGATCTCCGTGTCCGTGTCTGTGTAGTATAAATCCACCAGCTTATTCAGTAGTCAGTGTGTTTTACAGCCCCCTTCTCCATTCCTCTGTTCCACATTTATCGATAATTAAGCCGCGCCCCCTCCCCCCTCCCGATACATTCACAATCACGCAATCCAAAGAAGACTTATAAAACTTATAAAACAAGATTTCCAGCGATTAAGCGCAACTGACGGGCTTCAAATTTTACGAGCAAAATAATTCGCCAGAGAACTTGAGTCTACAAGTTATCTCAGCGAATAAACTATTTCATCCGTGGAAGCTCGCCGTCGTATAATAAGAGCTTATAAGAAATATTGAACATGCAGACGTCCCTTGTTGACTCCATTTCCTTGCTACGTCGGGAAATAAGGCAAATTTCGATATAGGTTACGCTTGAATGTAGGTAAACACCTTATCTTTCAGGCCTTGTTAACACTACGCCGGATAAATTTGAAAACGGAGCTTTCTACGGTCAGGCCTAACGTCCATACTAATCCGTCACGAAAACGAGTTTTCATCAAACACAAATCCAAAATCACCGGTGATTGTGATTGAGCAGGGAAAACGAGCACAATTTGTAAGGGTCAATTATATACACATACCCAGAGGTCCCTGCTGTGAAACGTTGAAATACGTGCGTTGAATGGAATACAATCCATCTTGGCAATCTTCCTCTGGACGAACAAACCCCGCTTTAACACCATACTTGACATTTTCAATGTATTGCATCAAAGAATCATTTAAACGTTTCAGGTGATCTATAACAAAGTTAACGTCGTCCACTGTCTTGGGTTGGATTCCCCAACTTTTGTATGTAAAATGAGATTTGATATCGTTCCCAACTGCGCATATCGGCTGCCAGCAGAACTTATTTGGCCCCAGCATCCAGTCACCGGCGTAGTAATTCTCATCATATGGCGCGCCAAAGTTGCTTTGTAGAAAATGCTTGACTTGGGCTATTGCTTTGACTTCGCGCGGTTTCATTTTCGTGCTGTCCGCCTTCTGATCAAGATCTTTAGCCTCGCGGTAGAGCGCCCGAGCAGCCTCTGTCCTGTTACGAATGGCGTCTGGATGCGCGTTGTACGGACTGAAATTCTGGCGAATGATGGTGGGCGTCGAATCAGGATCGTGAACCACGTTATTAGGATTCATTTTGTAATACGTTGTTTTCACTTTTACAAGAAACATGTCCAATTCCACGCGCTGAGCTTCATCGGAATAGTCGCAAGGTGCCGATTTCTCGAGTGGAGCTGTCGACCCGACAGTGCAATCCCTGGCTTTGGAGAGCAACGCGCCTCCAGTTATGACAAGAATAAGTCCTAGGAGGCACAACACTGCAGCAACTGCTATAGCAATGTAGTTAGGCTTGTTAGAAGGCGGTTCCACCTCTTTCAGAATGTAGTAGTGCTTGGGAGTCTCCATGTTTGCTCGTCCACACACGCTGCTACATGTAAACAATACTTGTCGCATCGCTAATTAATACCATGCGTGACAAAGTAACCAAGATGGGCCTTTCCACAAATATCCGGATTTTTTTTAGGATATTTAGAAGTTTCCGAGATGTTTAGAAAATTTAGCTATTTCTCGTAATTCACAGTTCTATGCCAGAAACAATCCAGTTCACCGTTTTCTTTCGAAAAATGTACTTTATACCCCTATAAGTTAAAGGAGCAATTTTTCAAAATGGCGGATGCTGGTAACATAACTGAATGTTCTTCCTCAACTCCTGCTCGGCTACTGCAAGAAAATTTTTGAGAATTTTAGCCTCAGTGATTCAGAATTGGTGTGCTTTTTAAGACACAAATAAGAGATATTTAGGGGGCTTTTCAAAATATTTAGAAAATTTTATGTGATATTTAGCGGATTTTTGAGAATTTCCGGAGAGATATTTAGGCGATTTTACATGATATTTGTGCAAAGGCCTGATTTAAAATGTAAGTCTAATACTGCGCAAATCAACATCAAACCCAGCCCCCCATCAAACTAGCATATCCAACGCTGAACCGGAAACTAACTGTAAATTATCTTTTCCAGTTCTTCTAGTTGCTTTGCTGATTTTGGAAAAACAAGTCATTATTTAATGGGCTGTTCCCTCGAGTTCCCGGTCCTTTGGCCACCAAAACTATTGTGCATCTAGATTCAGTTCTGTGGAACCAACACGCTTTTATTTTGTTGTTGTTTGTTGTGAAATGTTGTAGCTGCGGAAAGTTAAATACTGTGGGAAGCATGAACTAAAAGATAAAATTGTTGAACCAATACCTTTGCCCAGAAGCAGTCCAAACCCTGGGGAAAGCTGGGACTTCTATTTGAAAGGAACGAGGATTTATTTTTAAGGGTGGGAATTGGGAATTTGTTCTCAAATTTTTTTTTTTTTTTTTTTTTCAGGGCAGATCGTTTTTACCCATCAAAGTATCTTTTGTATCTTTTAGCGAGTGCCCATCAGGCTTGAACCCCTCAAAGAGGTATAATAATAATAATAATAATAATAATAATAATAATAATAATAATAATAATAATAATAATAAGGAGTGTTTATTGTGACAAAAACTAGAGCTAAGCTTTACAAAATGCTATAATATTTACATAATTTGATGTAATAATAATAATAATAATAATAACAACAATAACAATACTGAATAATAATAATAATGATAATAATAATAATATCTTTATACTTCATGTTGTGATGATGCAGACACATGGTTATGGTGTAGACCGATCTGTCATGAAATCTTGAAACTTCTTTTTCTAAATAAAGTTTGCGTCATGGGAAGGTTTGCTCTATTCCGGTCTAATATACGTTAGTCCAGTCCCGTCCAGTCCAGAACTCTGTTTTCAGTTTTAATTCAGAACAATTGCACTGTCTGTGGCCGCAGATTATGAATGGGGCATTGATTCTTTTTTTGCTTTAGAATTTACATTTTATAATTATCGTATCCGACGTACCGTGAAGTCATGAAAGAGTGACCATAAGTGAACCACTCAAAATGTAGTTCCAAGTGATCCCGATTTGGACGATTACCTTCTTTCGTCTACAAAAGTCACGCTATATATGAAGCCCGGCATAGTAACCATTTCCTTCGATTCACTATACTGCGGCACAAGTAAGCTTTGGAGCAGCAGAGGTATTTGGCATATATAGAGTTAAAACTAGAACCTAACCAATAAGACACCATCCATCAGATCAACAGACGGACGAATATATTACAACGTATTTCCGGGCGTAATTTTATCTGTCACATGCAGCTTGTGTGTTGGCCGAGAAAATGTTGCTGGAGAGAAAGCGTAATCTGCTTACGCTCGTTGTCGGAATAATCACCCTAGTTGGGTTGATTCTTCTTATTGTTGGTATCGTCCTCTTAGCAAAAGCCAAACGTGAAGGATGCGATGCAGCCGTCGCCGGTCAAAGCGGTGGTGCGAAAAGCGATCGCTGCAGTTATTCAGAGGAAGCGGAGCGAGCGGGTGTCGACACATTTCTGCAGAAAGTTCAAGATACCTACTTCGATCTTCATCCACAAGACTTGGTTTACAAACCTGGTGGCGTGGAACCGTCGGTGCTGAGGGCAAAATTCAAACCTTACAACCCGGATCCCAAGAATTTGAAGCGAATCACAGACTCCGCGCGAAATCTACTTGACGAGCTGGATGGTTTGGGTGTCAATACACGGCGCCTCAAACCGCGCGAGAGAAAAGCCATTGCTCAACTGAAGCATTTCCTTCAAAACAATTTCGGGTTGCCTTACGATGCCGATTATTATGCCGGCGATTTTCTCATGGGACCAAATCTGTTTTGCTGGCAGCAGATTTGTTACGTTGGGTCTTCCGATGTCGAGCAAGGTTTGGGTAATTTCTTCCCTAAGAACCTAGACGATGTGCGTTTGTTTCTAAACAAAATGAAGTTGGTTGCCAAGACCTTTTCGACTTATATCAATAACCTGCGACTTGGTGTTAAAGCTGGAATGGTTCGTTCAACTGAAGAATGCTTGGCTGGAATCAATTCATTCAAACGTAGTTATTTACAGATTTCACTTCAAGGAGAACAAGGTATGTGAAAATGATATTTGCTCTCCGGCTCCAGATAGGTCTGTTATTCGAGACGTCACACAACACGCAGTTTCACCAATGGAGAAGTGTTGCGTGACGCCTCGAATTGTGGCTGTAAAATTCTGATAATTCTAGACTATCGGTATTCTTTTATGGACGGCGCGAATAATAACTTGAAACTGAAGTTGGAGCACCCACCCAAAACTAATTCCAGTTTCCTTTCACTTGGCTGAAATGAAAATGGTACAAAAGATTTCATCAGAAAATGGGCTACAGTAATTTTAACGGCATTATTCATTCGTTATTTTCAGGAATCTATGACGAGAAATACATGAAACCAATCTTCTCTGGCAAGTTTTTAGCGGGTTTAAAGTCAAACGACCTGAAAAAATGGAAAGACGAGAACAGGAAGACTGTGAACGAATCCATCCGGGAATACGCGGTAAAATACATTGGTAAACCTATCCACGATGTGATCAGGTAGGTTACACACTCTTGTTCCACATTCAAGTCTCCGCTTTACGTCCTTTTATCTAGCTAGTGCTATCACGTGGTACATAACCAAATATGGTAAGACACTGAAGAAGGAATTCGGAAGGAGCTTACATTGGTTGCCAGTTCATTTTAGGATTATTTTCAAAATATTGTTGTTAACGGCACCAAGGCTCTGGAATAAACTACCCCTCCAGATCAGACTTTCATCATCAGAGGCAGTTTTTAAGGCTAATCTTAAGACTTATCTTTTTAAGCGTGCATTTGATTTGTAGTTTTTACTTTTTATTTGTAGCCTAATTGTATTATATAGCGTATTTAATTCTTAGGATTTTAATTTTTAGGATTTAGGATTTTAGGTTTTTAAAGAATTAGGATTTTAATTTTAGGATTTTAAACGTAGGATTTTAATTTTAAAGTATTGTAAAGCACCATGGACAATTAGTGGAAAATGGCGCTATATAAATGTATATTTATTTATTATTTATTTATTTTGTGTTATGAGAAGAACTGAGGAGAAGAAAAGACTACTCGCAAAATGCAGTACACAACAAAAGACAGATAAGGAATCGTGAAAATGCATCTACTATATAAGAGGAATCACATTTTCATTTTCATTTTCATTTTGAGTAGATTGAATGGAAAGTTCATATCAGGCTCAAGTTCCTATTTAATATTGAAAAATTATACTTACTTCGATTGCATAAAAAATCGTTTTCGGTTAACAGAAATACAAAAAAGGAAATAAACAAATAAGAAATAAAATTAGGAATGAAACTTTAGAATGACACTTTTGTTTTTAATTTAATTCTAGATACCTGCAAACAGAGAACCTTGAGCATTGTGTTCCGAGCTCAGTCTCCAGTGGCCTGGCAAAGCTTCCACTTTCTCACGTGTTTGTGAATGGAAAGAAAACAGCAGAGACCACAAGCAAACAGCTGCCAGATGGTGAACCACTGAACGGAAAGAAGGCATACGAATCGATCATGCCATATTTTACGACAATAAGCATAAAGCCCGACCAAGTGCACCAGCTCGGCAAGGAGATGTTGAAAAAACTCTACCCTGAGGTAAACCTCATTCATTGTGATAAAAAGTCCCAGGGATGGGGGGATACCCATATAAAAATGACGGGGGCGCTTGTTGGAAATTTTTAAAAGAACCCCAAGGAGGTACCAAGACCTTTGACGCTGAACACCCTAAGATGTACCAAAACCACGTTAGTAACCCCTAAAAGGTACTATGAGCACCCCTGT